AGCCTTGGCGTGAAAGATCTCTCCCATAGGAAAGTGTCTGAGGAAGTTAGGAGTGGTCTGCTTCAGGAGCTGGTTTTCTTTGGTGTGACTGTTGCTTTAGGAGAATGAATTTGTGTCGGTGATGAACTCTGACAGCTTGTTAATGAACTGTGTAACTACCGACGGATGAGTGCCTTCATTTTATATGTCGAAGCGAAAGAATCTCTAAAGTCTCCAAGCTCTGATGCACTCTAGAGAACTTACGTTTTGTTTCTTCTTGGGAAGCCAAAAGCTCTAAAATGAAAATAGCGGCCCTTGTTTGTTGGCAATCAATTGGACTGTGATTCAAAACTGTTTCTGAATCTCTTTTGTAGGCAAGACCCTACCCATCTTTCCCTTCTTTTGAGGTTCATCTCTTTGATTTCTTTCACCCCCAATGTCATGGCTTCTTTGTCCAGGGCCCTTCTCTGGCTAGCCAGAATAGCAATGGTACCTGGCGATTTCCACTCCTGGTGGTGTGTGGGGAGTTATCAAGATTTCATTCAACGTCTGAAAAGTGTGGTTTGGGTTGAGTCAGAAGCCGGGTCTACACTACAAAATTTGGCAAGCATAGCAGTACTGCTCAGGGGTGTGAAAAATCACACCCACCTGCTGATGGAGCTACACCAGCAAAAAATCCAGAATAGAGGCAACTAATGAAATTCAGGGCAGCGGTTCTACGATGCTGACAAAACTATAATTGGCATAAGTTGTGTCTGTAGTAGGAGACTGCCGGTTCCACTATTCTAGCAAAGTAGAATATTGCTAGTGGGACTGGATAGGTATTGTTTTCTCCCAATTAGTTTCCTTCTTAGCAAAGTGGCGTAACAAGGAAAGTTTCAATTAACCCCCCCAAATGCTAATTAGACTGTGGGAGTGTTTGCTTTGCTGAGCAACCCTGTTTTACTGGAGGGGGATTAAAGAATTAGTTATTAATGCCTGTTTGGGACCAGTGCTGTTAGAAAAGGATAATCATTCCTAGCATAACACACACCAGCTGTGCCGAGGCCGGTTGTTTTTCCAGCTGTTGTACAGCACCATGCAGAACAAAAGAGTGTCTGTTCATTTACCGAGCCGGACGGAGAGACAAGCAGGCGCATATTTAAGCGTGTTACTGCCGCTAGCTGAAACCACCTATAGAGTCTGCAAGCTAAAGCTCTCCTCGTTTGCAGAGTCAGGACTTGATGGTGGTGGTTTATTTAGGGTTTCCAAGTTGGGATTGAAAGGTGCAAGCAGGGGATTGGTCCTGCTATTGTGGGGAACTTTCCTGGCTGATCCACTACCCAGTGACATGGGCTAGCAAAAGAATCTGATTCCTCGGTCCCACTTTGTCAAGTCTGTTCCCCGCTCTGGCACTCCGAGAGCAGAAGGTAGGGTCCTGCAAGAGAGCTCCAAACCCTTGCCTCTATAGGCACTGGTTATCAAAACTTCCCAGAGTCACAAACTCCCTGGCTCTGAGAAACAAACAAGCAAACAAACAAGCTGCCACCATCAAGTGATTTTGTGCCAGGGGTGAACGCTTGAACCCACCCCAGGGGTACCCCAAGTTCTTTTGCCCCAAAAGAGCTTGAAAAAAGAAAGGAGAAAACCAGCTGCAGTCTCTGGTCGCTGACCCCTCAGTCAGAGGCCTGCAGACACACACAGACAGACCTGCCAGGACACAAGAATCAAATCAGCACCTTTAAAAGAAGTGATTTTTATTACAAAACAAGGGATCAACTTGATAAAGCGTACTTGGTTGCGAGATGTTACAGCGCAACTAGGGAAAACAAATTAAAACACAGAGAAACGTCTCTGGGCACAGTCCTAGATGGTAAATGGGGAGGGAAGGCAGAGATTCACACAGAGCACTTCAAACCAAACTGCAAAATAAAGAAAAATTACCCTGAATGCGACTGGCTTCTCTTTTCCTTTTACTTACTTCCAATTTTCTCTTTGTTCAATCCACTCCCACGCCCCAAATTCCTTGGAGACATTGTAGTCCTGCCTGGGTTTAAATCATTCTGTGTCTCTCCACTCCTGGTTTATTTCTCCCACACAAAGAAAGCAGGCAAGGAATCTAGATCCAATTCAGATTTCAACCCTCTATGTCGATTGGCTCTCTCGGGCCCCTGGTCAACACCCTTGCTAGCTTCCTGAGTGTAACCCCTTAGTCACCAGATGCTGGTCAGCACTCCACCTGTCCATTACACACTTCTTTTACCCCACGGCCTGTCTGACCACGAGGGCTCCCCTTCCACTCTCAGTAAGGCTGGGTCCCGGATTCCGGAGGGGCTTGATCCCCCTCCAGCTTGCAGTGTTGTCATGACCGTGCAGACAAGAAGTAAGGTGTCCCCATTCAGGGACGCTCTCTGCATGCTGGATGTTTCCCTGAACTACTGATATAGTTCAAAGCAAACGCTATTGATTAAACAGCAACACATTTATAAAAGGGAAAACAATGGAAAAGACGGTTTCTCAGATTTGTCCCCTACAAAGAATGGCTCGGGTTTTGGAACCTCCCTCACATCCTGTGACGGGGCAGAGGCGCCCCGCACTCCAGTCCCGCTGGCGGCCGCTTATCTGGCAGCTCTCGGGGCAGGGGGCGAGGTAGCAGCGTCAGGTGCGCTGTGTGACGCGGGCCGAGCGGTGCAGGGGCCGGCCTACCGGCTGTGCGGCAGCTGTTCCCGGGCGGCTGCCCCGACAGGACGCCCATGCACCACCTGCAGTCCGGGCACCGACGTGGGGGGAGTAACGTCAGGAGTGACGTCGGACCACGGCCCCGCCAACGGACCGGAAGCAGGGCCACGCCGGAAGGGGTGGGATCCCACGGTCCGCGAGTCTGAGCGGGGATTTAAACCCCAGGAGATGCCGCAGAGAGGGGAGATCTGAGGAAGCGGCCTCTCACCAAGGCCCAGCAGCGGATGGAACTCAAGGCGATGAGGTGAGCCCGGAGGCAAGGGGATATCTGACCGCGGAGAGAGGAAGTAGCCCAGGGCGGGTAAAAGGAGCCTGTGGGCTGGCGAGTTACGGCTGACGCCCCACCAGCCGGACCGGACAGTAGAAGCGTCCGTGTCCTTAGGGCCCTGGGCTGGGGTCAGTGAGAGGGTGCAGGCCCGGACTCCCCTCTCTCCGTGGTCAGTGCGAGACCGGTCCCTGCTTAGGGGTCAGCAAAATCCCAGGCAAGTGAGGGCCCGGCGAGCCTTGGACAAAACAGATTCGAACGCCGAAGGGTGCTCAAAAGGGTAAAGGAAACACGGGGGAAGGGAAGTGGTACCAGGTGAAAATGGGGCGCATGGCCCAACTCGTTTACACATCCCCAGCTGCGAAGACTGATGCAAAGAATTCATTTTGTTTCTCCACAGTGACCTTATTGTCCTTGAGTGCTCCTTTAGCATCTCGATTGCCCAGTGGCCCGACTGGGTATTTAGCCAGCTTTTAGCTTCTGATGGATTTTTTAAAAGCTTGCTCTTACTTTTAGAGAGTTTGGCTAGCTGATCTTCAAATTCATCCTTTTTAAGTGTGCACCTCCATCTCTTGTAGCTCTTCATTCCAATCCAAAAGTATTTGTGTTTAATAGTCTATGTCGACACTACACCGAAGATGGCCGCTGCCACAATTGATCTTTCGGAATTTGATTTAGTGAGTCTAGTTAAGACTCACTAAATAGAACTTAGAGGGCATCCCGGCCGGTGTTTGGTACGCCTGCTCTTGCCAGGGATATGGGAAGCTGATGGAAGTATTTGCTCCTGCCAGCCTCCCATTGTAGGAGACACTGCCAAGCTTGGCTTAAGGTAAGCCAACTCCAGTTGTGTACTCTCCATAGCTTTAGCTTACCTTTTGCTGAGCTGCCTGGTCTAGTGTAGACCTGGACTAATACTTGATTGTTCCCTGCTGTTGTACAGATGTTAGGTCAAATTATTTGTTTAGGTACTTGGTTGGATACATGAAATGACCACATCTAAACAACCAGAGGGGAGAACTTCCCCTGACATGCCATAAAAGCATAGGAATTATTAAGTGGGCGTGAGTTGTTATTTTTTCCCCCAGGGTTATTAGCCTACCAGGTTGTCTGGCTGCTTGAAGAACACACTTTCGGCTGGAGTCCCATGATATAAAATCCTACAGGATTCGGGAGCTAATGCTCAATTGACAAGTGCCGGGAACTGAGCATCTGTGGGCGTTAGGCAGCTTTGGAAATTGCTGCCTCAATGCATACTCATCAAGTCAATTCTAGCCTCACTTATATCGATCGGCTTCATGTCTGGAGGTGACCCGTGGATTCCTGTGTACATCGGGGGGATTTGTGTCCATTGAAACTTTTTTTTTTTTCACTTAACTAAAAGTATTTCATTTCAGGCCAGCTTTAATTGTGTCAATCGTAGGGATGTGTCCTTCAAACAAATACCGAACATGTTTCTTCTCCATCTGTGTTAATTCACTAGCACTGGTTTTTTGAGATGCTACTCATTTTAACCATGCCTGGGGGGGTCTCTCTGATGTGGCAGCTCAGGGTTTGTTGCTTGTGATGGGGCTTTGGGGTTCACCCCAATCCTGCACCCTTGTAGCAGCCAGAACAGACTCTACCAGCCAGTAGAATAGGGAGGGCTTATTGCTTCTCTAGGACACAGCACAGACGTGATGTAATTACAGAAGTCAGGGCCAGGATGCCTCAGACCCCTTGGGTTAGGGGGTCCATCGCCCCCTCCACCCTCAGCACTCAGCTTAGTCTGTTCCCTTCATGTTCCCAGCCAGAAATTGACCCTTCCCCCAACACTCACTGCCTTTGTTCAGTCCCTGCCCTCAGCAGGTAAGAATTGGTTCGGTCATTGTCTAAGTGACCTTAGGTGACCCCCCTGCTGTGCGGTGCTTACAGATACAGGCCAGTAGGGGTCACCCACAGCCCAAACACAGTGTACGGCCTGCCCACAACATCACAGTGCTGAAATATACATTATTCACAAGCGCGTGCTCGTGTCGTGACCGAACTTTCCTTTTTGCAGGCTGGTGGTGGGAGCGCCCTATGAGACCAATGGACAGCTGAAGACTGGAGACGTCTACAAGTGTCCAGTGAATGGCGAGACCAACTGCACCAAACTCAACCTAGGTACCGCATGCTCTGCTACTTACATACTGCAGCTAGCCCGGGGGGACATAAATCAGCAGATAAAAACCTTGTGATTTTAAAGTCATATATGGGTTGAACCTCTCTAGTCTGGCACTCTCTGGTCTGGCAACACCCTGTGGTCCGGCATGATTTTAGTTAGCCGCATGTCCACTTAGCCTGGGTGGAGCCAAGTTTCCCATAGTTCCATAAAGTTTCTTTACAGCCACCAGTCCTGGCTCTCACTGTTTTGTGCTGTTATTTAGCTCTAATTTACCCCTCAATGTCCTCTTACAGCCCAGCAAGCAGTGGCAGTGTTGGTGAGGCTGCTAGACAGTATTGATCTCCTGTGATCAGGCAAATTCTCTGGTTCAGCACCAGTCAGGTCCCGAGGGTGCCGGATTAGAGAGATTCAACCTGTATAACATTGTGTGTCTGTGTGTGTGTTTCTTTTCATGTATCTTCTGTCGTTTTGAGCTGTAAAGGTGCACTCTGGTCATGTTTTCTCCTGATCTCCCCATTCATTGCTCAGTTTTTTACTCATGCCAGGTCTACACTAGGGGGTAATGTCGAACTAAGATATGCGACTTCAGCAATGTGAATAGCGTAGCTGGAGTCAACGTAGCATAGCTCAAGTTACCACGGCATCTCTGCTGCGAGGGGTCAACAGGAGACCCCTTAACATTTCTTGATCTGGTGAAGGACCAGAGTTGATGACAGAGCAATCAGCAGTCGATTTAGTGGATCTTTACTAGACCTGCTAAATCAACCTTGGCAGCACTGATCTCCCGGTAAGCGTAGACAAGGCCTCAGTTCCCACCGTCAGGAAGAGTGGCCAAGGTGGTAAAAACCCTCCCATATAACGCTGCCTTCCAACTTCTCTGGTGCTCTGGTTGAACCGAAGTAGCTCCAACATGCATTCCAACAAAGCCCCGCCCATGTGACCAAGAGATGTAAAGTATAATCACGTGAGAACTGGACATTATCAGACCACCATCTGGGTGGATTAGTTTGTGAATCCCTGCTAACCACATGCCGGAGGCTTGAAGAGATTAAAGTGTTTCTTTTGCTGAACCTAAATGCTATTCACATTAACAGGTTGACAGCATTGCATTGTGGGCCACTCTCCATTTTAAGAAAGGGAATCAATTTGCAAGTATACTTCTGCCACTGTGTGTTTCATACCTGCAAGGAAATTACTTGCTAGAGCAGTTCCAAGATTTTTTCTAAGGGTTTTGCTAGTTCAGCCCATCAAGGGATGGTCATAGATATTGACTGGATAGCAGTTACGTCTATGGAGCTAAACTACATGCTCAGCAATATAAACAAGACCAAGATGTCTTGCAACTGGTTCTATTCTTACACTTGAATGTCTATCAGGGATGGTCTAGACAGTGCTGGGTCCTGCCATGGGGGCAGGAGACTGGACTCGATGACCTCTCAAGGTCCCTTCCAGTCCTAGTGTTCTATGATTCTATACTCACAGTGGCACAATAGAAAAGTGGGTTTCCTGGTTAGGGTACAGTTCTTCTGGTCTCTTGTGGTCTGCTAAGGTGCTTCCTTCCCACGGGGAAAGCCTCGGTCGGATTCTCCAAGGTGTGACACATTTCGGAAGCTTCTGGATGTGACGCATCTTGCTGAGTGATACAACGTGGCTAACTCTGGGCTTCTTTCTCAAGGAAGAGTAACGCTCTCCAACGTGTCAGAGCGCAAAGATAACATGCGTCTGGGCCTGAGTCTGACCACCAACCCCAAGGACAAAAGCTTTCTGGTAAGAAATGAGATTCTGTCTATAAAGGATCGGCTCCTAATATGCACGCGGACTGGCGCTTTTTTGGTATCGTGAGTTTCTCAAGGGATCTCGGTAGCAGTGTTCCTCTAGCGATTTGTCTGTCGTTTGTTTAAGAACTTAAGAATGACCATACTGAGTCAGACCAAAGGTCCCCCTAGCCCAGTATCCTACAGTGGCCAATGCCAGGTGCCCCAGAGGGAGTGAACAGAACAGGGAATCATCAAGTAATTCCACCCTTGTTACCCGTTCCCAGCTTCTGGCAAAGAGAGGCTGGGGACACCCTCCCTACTCCTCCTGGCTAATAGCTCTTGATTAATTAACAGAACCGCAGCAGGGCTGTTTTATCCAGTTTTGAATATAAATGCGAGGCTCACGAGAGGTCACTTTATTCGGGTCTGGTGAGGCCACATCTGGAGTACTGTGTCCAGTTCTGGGTCCCCCGCTATAGAAAGGATGTGGACGCATTGGAGATGGTCCAGCGGAGGGCAACCAAAATGAAATTAATGGGTAGCTGGTTTAAAACTAATAAAAGAAAGTTCTTCTTCATACAGCATGAAGTCAACCTGTGGAACTCCTTGCCAGAGGAGGCTGTGAAGGCTAGGACTATAAGGGTACGTCTAAACTATGTGGCTCCGTCGACGGAGCCATGTAGATTTGTTTGTTTGGCAAAGGGAAATGAAGCCACGATTTAAATAATCGCCGCTTCATTTAAATTTAAATGGCTGCTGCACTGAGCCGGCAAACAGCTGATTCGCTGTTTATCGGCTCACCGCTCTAGTCTGGACGCTCTGTGGTCGACATCAAAGCCCTTTGTCGACCTCCCTGGTAAACTTCATCCCACGAGTCTAGACGTGCCCTAAGTTATTTTGAAATTATGTTGCTGTGTAGACGTACCCGTAGCGAGGACGGCCTGTCCTCATGTCTGCATGTATATTGATCTGGGAACCAGTACTCTCTCTTTCTCTTAAAAAAAATTAGTTTACTTAATAAGGATTAGCTCTAAGCACGTTTTGGGGAGTAAGATCTGAAATATTCATTGACCTGGGCTGTAACGTGTTGGATCCTTTGGGATTGGTAGAGCGTTATCTGGATTGGTTGTCTGGGCGGGAGCCCAGGGGTAGGTTGTTTTAAGAGAAATATGTTGTTGCCTTAAGTCAGGGGCTGGGAAACTTTTTTGGGTTGGGGGCCGCTGACGCACAGAAAAATCAGATGGGGGCCGCACACAAGTGAGAAGCAAAAAAGAAAAACCAAACACTCACAGGCTGGAGAGGGATGGCAGGAGACAAATCGCTTGATCACTGTCTTCGGTCCACCCTCTCTGGGGCACCTGGTGCTGGCCACTGTCGGCAAACAGGACACTGAGCTAGATGGACCTTTGGTCTGACCCAGTACGGCCATTCTTATGTTCTTATGATGAGGGGACAGGAGCACATGACCTACGAGGAGAGGCTGAGGGATTTGGGTTTGTTTAGTCTGCAGAGAGAAGAGTGAGGGGGGATTTGATAGCAGCCTGCAACTTCCTGAAGGGAGGTTCCAAAGAGGATGGAGAGAGGCTGTTC